TTTGCCTCTAGGAACGAATTAGAGTAACAATGAGATAAAAGGTACTTTTTATTATTCGTTAAATAGATTTTTATTCGAAAACAATACGCTTTTGGTGGCAGCGAAATGTTATTACGAAAAATATAGACAGAATAAATTACAAGAGAGGAACGAACTGAAAATACAGCGTATAGGCGTAGCATAGGATTTGTTAATATTACTAACTATAAACATATAACATATTATAATATTTTATGTAGGTATTATATTGGTATAAATTTAAGCAGCTATTTAGCACCGCCTACTGAAATTTTCTGTTTTGCCCAAGGTTAGCTGGGAGAGAATGACACTTGGCATTAAGCTCGCCTTTTTGTACTGATCATATTTTTATGTGTGCGCAATAAAGTCTTTAAATAAATAAATAACTATCTATTGTCCGCAGCTTCTACCGATTCAATTTCAGTTTATCTTAGAAAAACATTATCGCGTTTTTAAAGGGGTATCCCGCTTAACCCCGATAAAACTGTTTTCCCTAGATCTCAAACTATGCTTGCTCGTACCTTTCTCCTTTGTAACAGACTTACAGAGTTACTTTCGCTTTTATAATATTAGTATGAGGCGTAAGGCTTGCTATAAGTGCTGTTATAGCTTAGGAAGAAGAACTTCATTAGGAAGAATAAGCATATTTACTTTTAATTATCAAGTAAAGATCAAATGAGACCCTTAACTAACTTCTTTATTAAATTGATACCGAAGACAAACCGAAGTTCGCGCCGATAATATGCTTAAACACTTGCCGAAGCAAGTCTGATAGTTCTATAGACCGCGCGTGCGGTTTGGAGTTCTCTGAACTACGCTATAATCCCCTTACAACAATCGAGCTGGGAGAGAATCCTCTTATCATGAAATATGATTCCATTAGTTCAAAATTATGAATGAATGATTTATATTCGATTGACTTTATACATATGAAAGTTTAATAAAGGTAATGACTGCGTATTCTGGTGTTATTATAGTAAGTTATTAGTGTATAGCAATCCAACTGTGCGGCTGGCTGGGAGATTCTGTAAGTAGGCTGATCTTGAGGGATAAGTCTCCCTCCGTCATGCGCACTTGGGGCAGTGGCGGCGCCACGTGCAGGGGTGACAACTTCAAAAACTCTAAGAATAAGCCAAAAGTCTATCGCAGAAATTGACGTAGGTTCGGGAAGTTTTTTATCAACTCATACATAATACCTACTTATCTTGAGGGCTCATTTAATTAATTAACGTTAACCACTTCATTGATACCACGAAAAGTTAACTCCTTACCGCTCATCACCTGTCTAAACTCTCGCTTGAAGATCTTAAATTAAAGATAACTTAGGTGACGCTAAGTAATTTAATTATAGATCTTAGAAATTCTAGTCAATTTAGAATGCAAAAAATACACATAAATTCCTTAGTAGAAAAATCCATAGTTTAAATAGTCAACTTAATACGTAGTTATGTATTATTTTGTATATTTGTATCAGTTGGCAACCCTGGCTGTGCCGCCCGCCAGACCACCGCGGCGTCAATAGCGAGACGCGCACAGGGGAGCGCGCGACTGAATTTTGGGTTACGACTTTTCCTAGACGCTCGCCCAATTCGCACACCGTCTACATACATGAATATCATTCCTTGAAGTGACGAGTATTTATCACGTTCTTGCCACAAACATTCATCTCAGTATCAGTATTAATTATAGCTTAAATAAAATTTTAAAGTTTCATCAAAATCCGTTCAGTAGTTATTGCGTGAAAGAGTAGGTAACAAACATACATTAATAAATATTCACACAAACTTTCGCATTTGTTTCAAATCTGAAGTTCAGTTCACTAAAAGTTGTTGAAAGCATGATCTCATTTTAATATCTACAGAAAAAGGACGTGCCAAAGGTTCACAAAGCATCTAAAACAGTAGGTAATAGCTGTCCTACAATATTTCCACATTTAATTCTGTTTTCTTTTCTCTGCAAACACATTGAAGTATCTCTTGTAAAATCCGTCACATAGCTTAAATCCGTTTATCTAGTTTTCCTTTTAAGTCGCAATGTATTTTCTTTGTTTCCTTTGAATCTATTCTCAAGGCACGTCGGAAATAATCAAGGACAGAAACGATATAACGTTTAATCCGGAAGGTACGAGTATATTCTTACACAAAACACGATTTTACCGTTTGCTAGAGATTGAAATAGATTGAAATATCTCTGTTACATCCAGGGAACAATGTTTTTACCTATTCTAAAAAGTGGAGAATATGTGTTTTTATTCTGCACGTTAACTGTAGGTAATGATAATAAACTTAGTTATAATTTCGGTAAATAAACAGTTAAGGCGATTAGTGTCCTCAATCCGCGTCAAATGGGCATTTTGTAAAGCCTACTCCTCTTTTACTGCTGGACAGAAATAGTTGAAAAAAATATATGTTATACAATAGTTCAAGGACTACATTTGTGACGTTTGAATTTTCGCTACGTCTCTTTGTTTAAGCGATTACTCTCTTTATTTATGCATGTAATTATTTTAATTGTTATCATGTGCTATATCAATAATAAATCAGTTAGAAAAAGTTGTTTAATGTATCGTTATTACGTTTTAACGCAAATACGCCCATATACTGTGCTCGAGATTTAGTTAGGTCTTTTAACATAATGTGTCATATTTTTAAAAATTATAAATAACTTGAAAAATCGAACTGCCTAAGGCGGGAATTGAACCCACGATGCCTTAGGCAGTTCGATTTTTTCAAGTTATTTATAATTTTCAAATTAGTTTGAGATGCGACTCTTAACGCTAAAAATTAAATAACTATATAATGTGTCATAATTTATAAATAAAACAATTTGCTAAATATTTTCATGGCTTTATTTAAGATTTGGATTATAAAAAATATATATTTATGTAAGCAACTACTCGTATAGATTGACGAATCGTATGATTGGGCTTTATACGTGGCGTAGTTTTGCACATACGCCTATTTGCCTAAAATTTTATTTTGAATCTAATGGAAAAAAAAATTTTTTTTCTTACTGACGTTATAGGTTAGAGCAAAATGAAATCATTTCTTAAATAATTGGAAAAAGGCGTAAGCGGCAGTTTCGCCTTTATACGTAGGAGCCATCGCTATAGGTTGTCTGGAAGAGATCGCTTCATAGCGATAAGACCGCCTAATTGTACCTTATGTGTTCCTTTTCTTTCTGTTTCTTTTTATGTGGTGCAATAAAGAGTATTTATTTATTATTATTATTATTCTTTCACAATTATTATTAACTAGCGGCCGCCCGCGACTTCGTACGCGTGAATCCCGTTTTTCCCGCTAATTCCCGTTCCCGTGGGAATTTCGGGAATTCCTTTCTTAGTGCACCTCTACGGTACCTAAGCTACGTCCCTTCCAAATTTCAAGTGCCTACGTTTAGCCGTTTAGGCTGTGCGTTGATCTGTCAGTCAGTCAGTCAGTTTCTCCTTTTATATATTTAGATTTTACTTACTTATATTTTCAAGAGTTATTAAAAGAAAAAAATTGGAAACTTGTCCATTGTTATGTGCTTGAGAATGAAAAATTTTTTAGCTTTAAACTTATTTGGCGGCTGCTACTAGAGTGTATTCGTTGGATCGCTGGGGAATAGTGGCGGCTTTAGTACGGCGAAACCTGCGATTCGTACGACTAGTACCGGGATTACGTACCCGGGAATAAACCGCTACCGCATGAGTGACTAAATCGTTTTTATTATCTCCTCTGGGTCTAAAAGACGGTAACCTAGTTCCAAGATATCTTCAGCTTCCTTTAAGCAAAGGCTACGTGTTTGATAAAGTAGGACACTTGCCTTCGGATTTTATTAAAGTTTTAATATATGCTCGCGTCTCGAAAGATGAAAGATTGGAGATAATGAATACTTGCTCGCAAAGTTGGTCAGCGTTCATTGCTTATCGTGTGTGAATATGTTATATGATTAATATTCACATATAGCGTCACTGTGTAATATATTGGTTTGAACAGCACAGTGTTATTTCTGTGTGACTAATTAAACCATAGTTATCGTCGGGTTGATGACTTATATTTAGATAATAACCACTGGTTACAACAATTAGTTGACATAACTGCTGATCAAAAACGGCCTTAAGTTAAACAACAAGTTGCCGTTCTACTAAGTGAAAGTGTTACGTTGCCGTATCCGAAATAGAAATGAAGGCTTTAGATAGCATCTGAAAAGTCAACGGCCTAGAGGGAAATGGGACAAGCTGCCGTGTTCCGAACTAATTCCACAGCCAACACAGATGAGACTTCGCCGCGGATTTAGACTAGCTTAATGGAAACACGACAGCCCAATTAAATAACCATTAACAGGTAGAAAATTGGCCAATGATGCCCTAGTAACCCTGTTGCATTAGTAGCAGAATGAATTAGGACTAGAACGAGGTTAATGGTTATCTGAAAATATATTATGGCTTTTTTAGAGTGGTTAGTTAGCAAGGTTACAATAGAGTCGACAATAGGTAGTACCGTGTGCCTACCATGAGTTTACGTTAGGTGTGCTCGCTAGCGACTGCGTAAAAAAATGACATTTAAATGTATGACATATTGTGCAACGCCCCTAGCGGCTACTTTCAAGAAATAAAATCTTCATAAAATTTTTTGACGTATTCGCTAGCGAGCTCACCTAACGTAAACTCATGGTAGGCACACTGTACTCTAATAAACCTAGAGACAAATTAATTTGGTAAATTGCGCTAATTACAAACCCTATAACTGTAAAAGATTTGCGTGGCAAAAACAAAAATAGAAATGTGTGTCTGTCAATCAATAGTGATGTTCATTAGTTAATTAGCTACCTATAGCATTATAGGTTTGTAATATTAAATTGTCAATAACGCTGTAGTAATTAAATACTTAATAATTTATTCTAGTTGACTGGTGAATCATAAGAACTTATTTTATTTTGAAGATTTATTTGAAAACTTTTTTATCCATTGTTGAGTTGACTCTATTTTCTTTCAACAGGTACTCTTGAAATCAGCCTTATGACATCATGGACGGTGCGGACATGTATACTAACACACTTATTCTATTAAGTTAATGGTAAGAATTCTAAATATTTTGGTTGTTTCATGCTACAGGCATAGCGCGCCTGACTGAGTTTAGGTTTTTGCGACAATGGAGTGTTTTTTTTACGTCAAACGTCAGCGAAACTTTAGATATGCCAAGATGTTGGCCAAGACATATACCTACCATGACAGCTTTGTTCCACCACAAAGACAAAGGTGTCTGAGTTTCTTCCGCCATTTCTTCCCAGCCCATATGTTGTCCCTAAGTGGTGGTAAGGCAAGCTATATTTGGAACGTGAATAAGCACCCTGGAAAGGGCCTAAGTACTAAATAAAAGCTTTGACTTTGCAGGATCTTACTCAGTTAAGCGCTGTCTGTTAAAATTGTCTTTTTTAGATATCAACGATGAAACAAACGTAAAGCTCTTTAATATTTCACGTTAACTACATAGCCTGTTTATAATGTTATGGTGCCGCCCACCTCGCGTGGTCGCGAGAAGCGACTCGCGTGTCAAATGTCACGCGCTGCATGCATGAAGCTACAGATAAAAATGGAGGCCACACTCCGAATACCTACTTGAAGCACAAACTAAGTATCACTATCTCGCTCTCTGTGGGCAGACTCGCTCTTTCTAAATAAACAAAAAATATAAAATTGCTCAAATTCAATGAAACCAATGTAAAATCCTTATTTCTTGACATAGGTATCATTAAAAATGATAAGTGTAATTACTGGTAAAACGTTTTAGGAAGAAATTACTGTAAAAAATGTGAAAAATGTTTACAATGATCCAATGTCGGAAATCACGAAATAAACACTTACGCGTGGAATCTTATGTCACTTCCAGGACACCACGTACTACCGCAACCACGCACTACAAAATTTTGCACCAATTCTTGTGATAAAACAATGATTATTTCTTGTAAACAATCTCAAACGAAATTAGTAAAACTGCTTAATAAACAAAATAGTAAACAACCGCCATGATGGGCCGGATTGGGCCGATGTTGCCACATGGTACCGATTACCCAGGAATTGGGATTGTAATTCCCTGATTCGCCAACACATTAAGCCTAAATGGCCGACAATTTTGTGATTTTTTATTTAACTAGGTAATCTTAGTTTCAAATATTAATTATTTATTTGTTTAACTTCTGATTTGGTTAGTGAATTGGCTATTTCGAAGAATTTACAAGGAGATTTAAATCAGAAGATAGCAATACTACAGTTCANAACTAATTCAGCTTGCAAAATTCCACCCGAACAAACATACTTTACACACAACATACATTGTAAGCTAAATAAAATAAAATAAAAAATATTATCCCATACAAAATGTTCATGGATTTGTAATTTTTGTTAAATACCTTACTATATGGTGCGCTAGTTTAGAACATTTCGGGCGATCACTTGCGCCTGGGTTGAATGACATCGAAATCAAGGTTCATCAATTCAAGTTTAAAATAATAGGCAGTAATGTATGAAGAAAGAGCTTCTATTCTGTACCTACCTATGCCCGTGTATTTTTGATCGGTGTCAAATCGGAGTTTTCGTGCGGGGTGCGCGGGTGTTGTGCGAAGCGTGAAGGTCAAACGCTCAAGGTCATTGAGGACTCTAATCGCCTTAATAGAGACGAGCATCTCACGACAGTAATTTGTTTCTTGATTTGCCACTTTAGAATGCAACAGCGTGAAGGCAATAAGTAATTGCAAGACGCGCTAACAAGTTATGTATGACGATGTTCTGATGCTACGAACATCCACTATCTCTGCATCAATATGATAAAGTACATTTTTACTGTCGTACTACTGTATCTCTTTTATTGTATGTGTGAGGCAATGCCATTAAAACACAATCAATAACAGTAATTAAGATCGACAGCCGGTGACAGATAGCCGTACGCGCCGGTGACTAGGCAATTATAAGACAAAAGCGACCTAGACCTAATTGATTGAGGTAGGTTCTACCTCATTCAGTATTGTGTCGTTAACAGTGGCATGTACGACTATTATTCTAGTATTGCTGAGTGTTGATATGTGTACACAAGCTGGGAGAACGAAGAAGTGTCGTTCAAACCTAAGTATTGGTAATTATTGTAAGCACTATTTGAATTACTCATAACGAAACACAAAAACGTAAATTATTCGTAGAACATTACTGAAGATGAATGAGTTGAAGTTGCGAGTATCTCGCAGCTCTTAATGAATTTCAATAAACCGTCTTTTCAGGTTTGGACATTACTTATCTTTACGAATGTAATTTTTTACTTTAAATAAATAATGGAGAAGTTTCGTGATGTTAAAAACATTAGGTTTCACTGAATGAGATTAAAATATAGACCACAACAAAAAAGCCGGTGAAGTTATTTTTGAAATCCATCAAGAAATGGCTGAGAAATTAATTATTTAAATTACCTCCATATTTTCACGTGGAACTTCAAACACAGCACAGGCGGTGCCGTGACATCATGCCACCTGTTCAAGTTTCAATCACAATGCTTACCACCCCTGACGCATTGTCGAGAGTGACACTATAATGTCAAAGTCTTCTTTTTCTTTTTAGATATGGTCTGGTCAGGTCTTGGATATGCCAAAAAAGGTTACACAATTTTACTAAGAAAGAATCTTGAGTAACCCTGGCTGTACAATTAAAATCTAATAGATTTAAAAAAAAATGGATTTCTAAATATCACTGGACCAGGGGTGATTTACTGTTTGTACTCCGAATGACGGTCGTGTTTTACACCGATCAAAATGGCGCGAATATTTGTTATGCGCAACTTTAGGGCCCTGTAACTACACACANGTTAATAACTTGTTTTTGACAAATTTGACCGTAAATGACGGTAGTCAAATTTAATCACCTTAGTCATTTTCAAAACTAGCTAGGCCATCGACGTCCGTTCGGCACATTCGCGACACCCCTAACCCTAACTTTTGGATTTCGACCGCGTCCCGAGATTTGAAATTCGAAGGAAAGCTCGCGTTTCGTCGGTTTATATGAAGTTATAATACTGTATGATATTATTACCGTGGCGTGGCTAAAAGACCATTGGTCACCATTTTTTTCTTTTATGACATTGTACGGTTTGCACATACAAATGTATGTGGCTAGCTAAATAGCTAGCCAGTGTCAATAGAATGTAAAATTCAAATAATTATAGGTATTAACTATTAATGATATTAGATGACCGATAGAGTTCCAGTAAAGATAAGGCACTCGATTGATATCACACGCGGACGAAATTACCGTACTTGACGCTTCGCTTTGCGGCCAAGAAGTCAAGTAAATCGTTTAGTAACAAGGTCTGTTGCAGCCGAAATGCCTACGAGGATGATGGGAGCGCGCGGCGCCGGCGCGGGCGCTGATGACGTCAGCGTGGCTGACAGCCCGCTGGCCACCATCGAGTCGCTCACGCAGGCCGCCATCATAGCCGTCATGGGCGTAGCCATCGTCGTCTCTAACCTTCTTATAATAGCTTCCTTTCTCAACTTTAAAGGTAACAGTGAGTATTATTCCACGTTCATCCATCTGTACCGTACCACCTACGCCATTTGCATACGCTGATTTTCATTTCGTGATTATTAAAGGTTAACGAGTATTTCAAATGACTATCTCGAATTGAAAATCAGAGTAGTAGCTTTTTAGAGTTAGCTTAAAGTATGGTAAGTATATTTTACGATATAGTTTCAGAAATGTCTAAATAATTTTCGAGAAAAGTGCCAGAGAATAGCCAGCTATGGGTGCCATTTCACCTCCATATGCACATACATACATACGAGTATTATTATCACGTTTTGAGTGCAAAGATTTTAAGCTTTATGAGATCAAAGTCGGTCATGTTTTGGTTTTGCTTCTTTTCGACGATGGAGCATAGTTTATTCAAACTTAAAGTAGGTAATACATCTTATCTTATATATTGGTAATACATAATAGTATTCTTATTTAGGATAAAATATCAAGTGTTAAGTGAGGTTATGGTACTTCACTTTCGCTATCTCTTCAGTGAAAGATATCCGAGCTTTAATGGATGATAAAAAGTAATTGGTGAAAGAAAGTAAGTTTAATAGATTGAGTTCACAACTGCTAACAAGGATCTAGGAACACGAGAAGCGTAAAAGCTTTTTCATTTGTTCCACCAACATTTATTCTCGGCTTAACTTTTCCATCTTGCGATCGGAATGCCACCTATTGACCCCGTCCAACCTAGTTTCTGAAGGCTTTTACTTCTCATCTCAATGCTAGTGTTAAAAAAAACTGTATCAATGACGACACACAAGTGATGTTGAATCGACCCCGATCCGATAGCATCGTAGGGTTTCGCTGTATCGCATTAAGTATTGTAATGTGCAATGTAATGTAGGCTAACGTAAATGCGCCTATTACCGCCAGTTTTAGCTGACTTCGGATAAACGTTAGAAAATTAGATATAGGACGTGGTGATAGAAAAGACACTTTAAGTTATTTATAACAATGATGAATTAATCTTTGAATTTAAGTAGTAACAATGAGTATACAATCACACAATAATTAATAAATAGCAATTTAATCTGAAAAAGCAGTTGCTTCTATTACCGACCTATAGACGAGGTGTGTTTCTATTAACGTTTTTTCTGTTTCTATTACCGACCGCTAAGAATATTGCTCTTCAATTGGGTATATTCCAAGAGGCACGGGTTCGATTCCCGCTCAGAGGTTCGGGAACCACTTGATTTTTTCAAGTTAAATTTGTTTTGCTTTTAGTTTTAGTTAAATTTGTTTTTTTTTTTCAAGTCCATTTTTTTTTATAATTAAAAGAGAAAAGGCACGCTTCTCTAAAATAAACAAATAATCAAGCAGAAATAGTAGAATAATAAATTCCTCTATTATACTTTATTACGCGGTACCTGGTGTTCTAGTGAGTAGTGGGGGTCATTATTTAAACTGTATTTGAGTTTTAATAAAATTTAATTTTCATTAAATATTTTATTTTTAATTTGACTATTATTTTTAATTAGTTTTTTATTGAATTTAATTGTGTGTGATTGTGTATTTTAATTTACACTGTATAATTATTTTAAATTATTTTTTTATTATTCAAAAGATCTTAAAAAGTTACATAGTAGTTGTGATAACGCATGATTGGTTTGGTGTCATGTCATAAATGTTAGTTATATACAAAATACAGGCTTATAAGTCTTCGCAGGTGGCGTTATAGTTATGAGGCGGTAATAGAATTAAGTATGAATATTAATTTATTCTATTAGCGACCGTAAAAAAAAACAGTAACTAGCTAAAATATCTACTTTAATGAAGACGTGATCAGTGAAGTGTCATTTTTATTAGGTTTTATTTTATATCAAATAGGTACTAATTAGAATTTAACAGGTTTTTATAAAATCTATTGTCATACATTATTAGAGATATTCTTTAATGTTCATTGCAGTTTTATGCCAAACCTATGACAATTAACGTATGGCGTTAATTGATTTAATAATGTGAAATATTCTTATGAACCGATCAAGATAACAAAATGGAGGTTAAATGCGTAATTAAAGATATAAATACCAAAATAAAAAACGTTATCAAAATTCTAACAACGCCATGGGTCGTTATTAGGAACCAAATTATTAAAAGTGTTTCTATTACCGCCCTTATTTAAAATTGTATTTAATCCATAAAAATACAGCGAGAGGGCTATATTGAGGGTTTATTAAGGAAACTAAAGTACGAACTAATATTGTTATGCAAAAACATGTTGGTATACTCATTTTAAATGTGTTAAAATCGCTAATTAATAACAAGGTGCACCTTAAGTAGCTGGGAGCGCGTCAGTATGAAAAGTGCGTCCGTTGCGGGCGCGTCCCATTTAATGTCAAATAACTCCGTTTACGGGTTATTTACGAACACAAACTTTAATCGTTTTGATAGTCAATAAACATATCTAGATATTTTTTAGGTAACGTGTTTTCTGGAACCTGTTATTATGTCTTTTATGAAAGAAAGAAAAATAGGGCGGTAATAGAATACAAATTTTGGGGGGTCGTTAATAGGCGCACTTACGTTAGTGGGACGAATTTGTTTCCTATTTTTGAATTCACTAAGGAAACCTTAATAACCGATTCGTAGGCTTTGAATGCTTACGTACAATCCCGCTTCTGTTCTGCTCTTTGAAATATGCCCCGAGCTAGCAATCTCATATCCAATCAACTGCAGTTTATTTTCTGGTTTCCAGAAAATCCGCTTTCACCTTTGCGTCGCAGCGCAAAGCGAATAATATGTGAATAAACGCTTTATAAGTGTATATTCTATGTTGTGAGTAAATGTTGAATATTCTATGCTTGGATATAAGTTATTGTCAAAGAAACCCAGCCAACGAAAGTTAAATAATTTAATTAAAGAGGTATTTAGTATTACGAGAGAACATCTTTGCTTGGGCTTTAGTATAGTAACGCGTTGCAACGGCTAGATATGGTTATAAAGAAATAAGTTTATATTTAATTAGGTAAAAACTAAGACAAAGTATGTTGAAGAAGATTACTTACGTATTTTTTATTTTGTTTTGCAAAAGTTTGAACAAGCACTATTACCTACTTATCAAATTAAAAGTAGTTATGTATGATACATATATTATATAGGGTAAACCAGAGAGTGATTGCCCACTGGTAGTGATTGCCCACTTTAAGAATAATATTGTATGGTGCTGACTTTGAATCACTCTAGTTAGATTTGAATTTACTAAGTAGATGGCTCCGAGATCAATGTACAGTAGATTTAAAATTTACAATAGGAAACACTAAAAAAAAAAAGTTATGGCGGATTTTGTCAAGACGGGTGAAAATGTTACTCAAACAGGTAAAGACTTTAACAATTTTACTAAGGAAATACTTGCTTAGAGGTTAAATTTTTTTTTAAAGTTATTTAATATTCAACTAATGGTGTATAGTAAATGATGAAATTATAAGTGTTTTCTCCATTATCAACGAAAATAACTGATAAAATTGGATTTCTAACGGTCATTTTAACGGTGGGTAATCACTGCACGTAAATCTGTATATTTTTAGTTATTGCCCACCATCATTTCAGTTATTGCCATATGTTAATGTATAGTTATTGCCCAGGGAAATTATTATTAGAGTGTTGCCACCATGCAGTAGCAGTGTTTAAGTTGCTCATTGCTAGACTTGTTTTGCAATTTACAGGCATAAATATTTATTTATTTATTTATTTATTTATTTATTTAAGGATAGTACACAGCACAATATCAATCTGTAATAACAATGTAACAATATTGAAATGGCTTTTAATGTTTCATTTTCAGTATGCCAAAGACTCCAAAAGTTCAATATAGCATAGAAAATTTGCAAAAAGCGATCGAAGCTGTACAAGATGTATCCAACAATTTATCTACAAGAGAAATTGCTGAAACATATGGTTTGGCTTGAAAAAATTGATAAAAATTCAAACGCAAATACAAAAAATGAAAATCTTACGTTAAATCTACTAGTGAAAATGTTAATTGTTAGGAAATAGATACAACTTTAGGGAAGAATAACCAACAGCTAATTGAACATTCTGAGCAACCACTTGAACTGATATCAAAGAAGATAAAAAAATAAATACATATAAAATTTACATATAAAATTCAAATTTTTGCGTCATCTATGTTTTGAAGTAGATGATTCTGTCTCTACCGATTCTGACTCATCAACATCAGCTCAAGAAATATTTGATAATATTATAGTTTGTTAATAAGGCCAAACGCAATTTATTTTGAAATTTTGAAGACTGTACTACTAGAATTTAAGTTTAATGTTTTGTTTTGTTTATTTAAAGCCTATTTTGTAATTTTAAAATTGATCATTTTGTTTTAAGATACTGGGCAATTACTGTGCTTTGATGTGGGCAATTAGTGTAAGTAATGGGCAATGACTGTACTTTTTGGAGGATTTTAAATTTATTTCAATATTTTTTAAGTTACGTAAGTTTTAACTAAAAACTGTTAATATTCTGTTTAACAGTTTATTGAGTTATAAGAAAAAAGTCATAAATGGTCGTAAATTTAAATACTTTCTTTAATTTTTCATCTCAATGTGTTTGAAATCTTTAAGTGGGCAATAGCTATACGGTTTACCCTAGTTTAAATTAAACAAAGACCAATCTTAACGCACATTTTGGTCACAAATTGAACTAGATTTACGATTCTGTTAAAACGCACAAAATAGCTTTAATATGCAGCGATTAACAAAACAGGGCTTGTATAATTAAATCATTGTTTATAAAATGTGAATCAATGCAAATTGAAATGGGCGCGCGTGCCAACCGGTCGCTCATTAAAATAATTTGTGTACAATCGGGCAGCGTTTAATTTACTGGTCGTTTTGTTTTCAGGTCTGTCGAATGAAGTGATCAACTACTACCTGCTGTCGCTGGCAGTGGCCGACCTGCTGTGCGGTTTGTTCGTGGTGCCGCTGTCGGTGTACCCGGCCATCACGGGCCGCTGGATGTTCGGCGACCTCATGTGCCGCCTGGCCGGCTACGTCGAGGTCACCCTCTGGTCCGTCTCAGTGTACACATTCATGTGGATCTCCGTTGACCGTTATCTAGCAGTCCGAAAGCCTCTCCGTTATGAGACGGTTAGTGCGACGGTAGATATCTTTTTCAATATTTAAATCAGCTTTAAATGTTCTCAGCTTCTGACTAGCACGAGCAACATACAGTCTTTCGAACCAAATCATGCTTTTTGTAACACTCGAACGATCATGTAAATGCACAACCCTTCCAACCTGTTAATGTTTCATCTTCAGTAGACCCATTACCAAATGTAGAGCGATAGTTGTCATTTCCTAAATCACTTCGTGTTGACTTCATCTCATTTGATCGCTATAGTATAATTATTTCCAAAATGAATGGTTTACTAATGCAGTTATTTTATCAGGTACAAACCCGCACAAGAAGTCAATGTTGGATGGTGTTCACTTGGATATCTGCCGCTATGTTGTGCTGCCCGCCCTTGCTCGGATACAAAAAAGAGGCCAATTTCGACAAGGAGACTTTTATATGTATGCTGGACTGGGGCACTACCTATGCCTACACCGCCACTCTTGGGATCCTTGTTCTCGGGCCGAGCGTCATCTCCATTGTCTATAACTATTTTTACATTTTCTCGATGAAACGCAAGCTGAATAGTGGAGCCCCGATCCACGACAAGGAGTACGCAACGGCACTGGCGGAGAACCTTTCGAACCCGAGCCACTGGATGAGCTTCGTGCTGGTCACCACGTTCTGGCTCAGCTGGGCGCCCTACGCGGGGGTGAGGTTATACGAGTACATCACCGACCAAGAGTTGAAAGTACCGATGTTGCATTTCGGCGTCGTTTGGCTTGGTATTATGAACTCGTTTTGGAAGATTGTCATTCTGATTTCTCTTAGTCCTCAATTTCGGCTGGCGCTGCGTATCTTGTGTCTGACGGCGTGCTGCCGCACCAAGGGCCGCCTGCAGGCGGAGCTGATCGGCATGGACAACGACGACTGAACTTGATGTCATACATATGTTACAAATGGCTCCAAAATTTTAGATAGAATTTATGGAAATGATTGACGAGAAAGTAAGTTGACATCAAGAATATGTTCTTTGTAGAACCGACTCAAATTATGTCGGAGCTGAATTTACCTAACGTTAGAAAGTTTATATGTTTTTCAGGACTAGGTACATTTACGCTAATTAACTTAAAACGAATAGAGATCGCGATCATTCCAAATAGTTACCTGACAGTACACCAATCACTGTGATCATAAAATTCACGATATGGAAAATATATGGTTAGACATAGAGACATATTTTATTATACTCGTAAAAGCCGAAGATCTAGTTAAGCATATAAAATAATAAATATTTTTTCTAGATCATACAATGTAAAGCGAATGAAATGAATGAAGAAAACATGAAATAACATTGCTTATTGTTGTGGTAGTAGGTAATAAGAGAATCTCGGTGTTTATCAATTTGTTCGGACAATAAAATGTTATCTAAACTGAATGCATTTCGCAATAAATCCATATCATTTTCAGAATTGGTTAATTTTACATTAAGTAGATATTGTAAGCTTAATATTTTAGTAGATTTTGTCTTGATATCGGTGAATCTCAATTTAATATTTTGAGGTCAAAAAGCGTAAAAGAGGAATAATTCACAATTTTATTTTAGAGTTAGTCATTAAATTACGGCGAAATAATCGTATGCCAGAAGAAAAGCTAGCACGATAAGCGCACATATTTATTTAATTGCTTAAGTACTTTTTTGTTAAGTAATTGGATTATTTCGTGGTTTGTCCAAACGTTGTTTTTGAATTGTTTTTGTTGTAACTTATTCCGATTAAGTAAATACTGTAATTGTTGTAGATGTTAAAATGTGTAAATAATATCATGCTCATGGTCTCGCAAATGCGTGGAGACGTCGCGGATAGCATTTATCGCCTGGAATCGTGTGTTCAAATTTTTCTCAAATACATGGCTGTGCTTTACGATAATTGGCGTTAGGTTAATTTACTTACTTGGACGTTTTAGGTTACTTTTAGTTTTGGTGAGGATTTTATGTAACAGAAACGGTAGTATGAATTCTAAGAATCACACACTTTGATTTTCCAGAGCATTTAAACGTCCCTTGGAATACCTACGAGTAGAATGTATTTGTGAATAAACAGTTGCAACTCCGGCTAAAGTTTATAAATCGTTCGACTTTGAAAGTTGTAAGAGTTCTTTTAGGGGAAGCCCGGGCAGCGCGGATAAGTTAAGGAAAAACAAAAAAATAACACAGAATTACTTAACTTAGGAACAACCTTTATTTTTCATTTATGGCACATATCATCACAATTGCAATTGTAAAGTTAAAAGTAGCAAAATATAATATCTTCATACTTAATTATTACTTTTTCTAAACCTCTTCCATTATCCGCTTTACCCGACCCGGTCGGGTAAAGTGGATAAGCTACGTCGGGTATAGCATATTAGGCAGTAACTCCTGACAGTCATCGCAGAAATAACTGTCAAGTCCATCATAATAACATACAATTTTAATGTGCCCAACGGTGGCACTCTGAGCATTGGATCCAGTCCTCCATGGGTGGATCCATTTTACTATCATTTTTTTGTATTTTATTGCTTGTTTGCTTTTAACTGGTGTAGAAGTTAATACCATTTACGTTTCTTATTTGTTTTACGTTTATACTTAAACACTATTCTGAAAAGAAAAGAAAAGAAAAATAAAATACAAGTTATACTCATACAAGGATAAGTTATCCGCTTTGCCCTATCCGCTTTGCCCAAAACGTGTATTTCTAAACATGCCTTTTCTTAACATTTCAATTGCGGTTTAATGTAATAGGTACTAATATTACAAATATTACTAGAAAACATTGTTAATCTGCAAAACTAAATCGTTCTTGGGTTAGCTAACAGTAAAAACAAATGAAATGAGAACAAACCTGATCGAAAATCGTAAGAAGAACACACTAAACAATTTTTTTGTCACAAAAATAAACGAAAGGCACCAGTCGCTTTGAACCAACTGTCATGGCGTAGTCAGAGGGGTCACTCGTCTACGCAGCCGCAACTTGTAAAGCCATCTCTTATTGCGTTCCAGAAAAATCGCTTATCCGCTTTACCTGGGTTATTCGGTTTGCCCGGGCTTCCCCTATACCTACTAGCAAATAGTCCTTTTAACTTAGAAGGACAATTTAAGAAATAATAAAAAGGCAATTCATTGATAGATGTTTGCGGTCAAGGTTTATGCTGGAGATATTTTTAGAGATTATTATACTTAGTTTATCTACAGCCGCGAATTTTGATTATTTTAACCTACTCGTAGTTGGTCATCAACACACACAAACCGTCAGGGACATCTTAGATTCTTGTCGTCTCGATACCAAATCAGCAGCATCTCAAATTCTCATCTCAAGCTAAGCCGTATCTGCACAATCTTCGAAAATTGCCAATACTTTAGTAAGCCGCGAGTCTAGGCGGCGTTATCGTATCGGCACATAATACCTCGGTGAAAAATGTTCGCTGTGCAGAAGGATATTCGGTGTAGAGGTATTTCGTGAGATTTATTATGCGATTATTTAAATATACAGTTTGATGGTGTATAGTAGAACAGTTGCAATGCAAAAGGCTTCATGTTTCGTCCGTCTTAAAGTCAGAATATAGTATGTAAAGATTAGAGAGTGTCATTTTTTGTTAAGCTTATTAAACGTAACAACATTCATTATTGTTTGTTTAAAATTAGATTGAAAATAATTATTGTCTTAGAAAAATAAGCATAAAAATGAAAATGGTTATAATAATGAGCATTGAAATTCAAGTCCGTAGCTAACAAAGCCCGCAGCGCTTTCCTTTCGTTCTTTTTTGTCGACCCATAACTATTATTCCCGTTAACAATACAAAACAAATGAAACGCTATTGGTAGACTTTGCAAAACTTTTTAACAAGAAATACGGGTTTATGTTTCCTGCTTTTGCATTTTAGATGTTTTTAATGTTCACATTTTCATAAACATTGATCATTTCGACAGTTAATGAACAGCAACTCAATTTCAGGAACACTCATGACAAGCCAGTTTCAGCAAATTGGAATTCAAAACTCATAATAATAACTTTACGGGGAAATCTGCCGTTTAATCTAGTAAACTCCGCTCTCGTTGCGATCATATCACGGATGTCACAAGCACTCGGCACGCTATATTGGATGCTGTACTCGTATTGTAGTATTTAATAAAACGTGCATATCATGGGAGGATTCCTGCTCCGGGCCTGAAATTGGAAAATATACTTACAAGTATTCCACTTTCTGTATCGTTAATATCACGTAACTCTATTTTTCTGATCGTTATTTTTGATCCCCAACACGTATGAAAAATTCTTGTCTGGTGAAAAATTTGGTACGTAAAGTAGGTACCTACTTAAGGTTTGGTACCTACCTACTAAATTGCGACAGTTGGGTTGATGATATGCATTAAACAATAATTATAATAGAATAGTTATAAAACACTTTATAACTTTGGATTTAAAATTTATATTAGTAAATTGGTGAACAAGTAAGTAATACCTAATAGATTCCGTTTGATCCGAATTTGTTGCGATTTATTGAAAGCGCGATTTAACATATAAAATCGCGCTTCGACAGTTTAAATAGTTTTGTGCTGCAATATTTCGCAGTCTTCCACGAGTGAACGGCACACTTACTATAAAGCTTTCGTACAATTTAATGTCCATGTGTCCAATGAAGCCCCATAGTAAACACTATAGTCAGATATTTAAGTAGGGCGGACACGTCATCGGGGTCAATGTTTAAGCCTATTATGGTATCGTAATGCCGGACAGACCGCCATTGATTATACAGGGTGGTCCAGACCAGGTGGACATACATTTTTTTAAAAAGTTGGTTTAGGTATCTATCGGATCCCACCGGAAAATAGTGCTGAGAATCACTTCATTTCATAATCGATGGAGTTTAAACAAATCCGTAGAGTTCGAACAAAGTCACTTTACCAGAATTATCTTGCTGCATATCAATCAGATTTTTGTTTTGAGAGAGTGCAGTATCTAAGTTGCAATAAAAAAACTGGAATTAGCATTAGCTAACAAAAAAGAGATATTTAGTAAAATTATAACTCGTAATCGGATGGAAAGCGACTTTTGTCCTGGCGCAGCGGGGTCTAATGGGTCCCTAAACCAATTTCTAAAACAAATTTATGTCCGTCTGGTCTGGACAACCCTGTATGTACTTAGGTACTATATACTCTGATAATTTCACACTATCAGGATTAGTGCAATAGCTTGCGGTCGATCTAATCGATCTACTCATCACTTATCAGATGATAATGATACAGATCACTGGAAACAGAAGTGTAATTAAGCTGAATTCAATTGGGGTGCAATAATTATACACGCAATTAATTAATCCAATATTGTCGCATCAACGAACAAGGCATTCAGTAGATTGGTTTGTTGTTCACTTATTTATTTTCAATAATTGATAGATTAGTTATGATATTTTGGAATTAATGTTTCACGTACGTTTTTATCAGAAGGTAGCAAATATTATGTTTTTGCATCTGCAGCAAGAATTTTCAAAGCTTTTGAGCGTATTTTTAAAGTGAATAGGAATTTAAGAATACCAATCAGTAAAAATTGTAGTTTTGTGTGTGTTGATGACTTTCGTTCTCAGCTAAGCTCTAAATTTCGCAGAACAAAGCTTGTCCGAGAAAATGACAATAATTTTAGTAACTTTGAAGATTAATTTATAGTATAACTATCAAAGGTGAGCTCTCGGAAATTCTTAGCCGGAGTTAGAGCACTAACTAAGCGATGATAAACATTAATTCAAGGATAAATAAACTTCGCCTGCAATTTTCCATTCCGTAAAGTAAGTTTCCGTTAGCAACTTTCGTGCAAACTCTCCCCGTGCTGCTAGAAATGGAATTCGAAAGAGATCCTGCCTTGGTGCACTCATGGAAAAATAAAAATTAAAATAATATATGAATTCTGTTTCTTTTTTAATGGTCTATTTTCAGATGACTTCTCTTATTCAGTGAATAGGTTGAATGTGTCGTTAAATAAGTAACTTATGTTAAAAATAAATGTAAAATATAACTACTACGGTTTTAATCCCATAGTGACGAACTAAAAATATTTTAATACTTCACTTCTCAAAATTCACTAAATTCTTAGTAACATACGTGTAGGTAAGGCTTATTTTACTTTGCATGGGTTAGCGTAGTTATTAGTAAATTAATATAGAAATGTTGATATTAAGTAGAGTGATTTAAAGTTGACATATTTTACAAGTTGTTATACGTAAGTTAGATAATATGAAATGGCAGCCATAGGGCTGAAATGATGATGATAATGATGAAATAATATAAATGTGTAAGGTATTTACATAAAGTTCTTATGAAAAGTCTAGGTATAGATTTATTTCCAATATTGTTCAAATTATTGATATTACATATTTAATTTGTATTCAGTTACTGTCAATAAATAATATTTACCGAATAGGTACCTACTTGTTATTTTAATATAGAATGTAAAAGAGAGTAAAAAATAAGAAGTAAGTAACAAGAAACGGTTAAGAGGTATAAAGAAAGTCTTCATAAAAACCTAATTAATTACATGATTCTATTAGCAGGTACTTTGAGCTCGGGGACATATTTAAAGACCATTACTGACGCTAAAGAGCTGCCACCATCAAGTTTATTTTTATTTTTAATGCAGCCCTGTGAAAAATTCATAGGCTGGGTCGCTCCATCTTACTTTAACAAACGTCAAAAATATGTCGATTTCCATACAAAAAGCAACGGTTATCGTTACAGTTACGGTTAAAGTTAGGTGGTGCAACTCAGTCTTAATAATTTGTGATTGTTTGTCGTAGATCTTGAAACCGATAGAGACAGCGATGTAGTTTTTTCTAACAAATGATAAACGGTTTGCTGATTTATGTCGGATTGATATTGTTATATACAGAACTGTGCTCAGAACCAAATACACAATACAGGTTGTAAGCGACAAATTGACAAAAGCTGGAATTATGTTTTGTGTTTTACGACGTGGTAAGCTCGACTAGAGCTTTGTACGTGGTCATGCACGCGCGGAGCTTACGGCTATAAGGCTTTTGATGCGCTTATTAAACGATACATGCCTCCAAAATATCCATGGTAGAGTAAAGCCAGCTTTATTTACGCTGGCCGGTTGAAAATTTACCGCAACGATGTTATTATTTTGAACAAAGTTTACCGAAATAATTGGATTTGTTCACAAATTTTCAGCAATAAAAATCTGGTGCTTGTCAACAAAACATTCGATTAAAATTCGAGATAATGTTCGCTACGTGCCTAACTACAGTAGATTTTATCCAATAGAATTCTATTTAAACAATTCTCAGCCGAGAAAATGTTATAGTTCATTGCAGTACAATAAATAGTGTCCTAAATTGTAACAAAAGTATAAAAAATGCATTAAATTACAATATAGATAAAATATTAGAACTTTTAAATCTGTGTGTTGATATGTTTTCTCGTTTTGGTCATAAAATGTTTTGTGTAAAGCTGGGGCTTAATCCGGATAGTTTTAAATATGGTGTGTTAGTATTCTAAATAAAATAAGCAAAATATTTTTCTCGAAAGCATTTACAGTCTGCTTGATATTCGTTTTGTACGACAATATTAAATAGAAGTTATATTCATATGCTATATTAAATAGCTAGTGATATGAGCTGTGTGTTTTTATTTCCTAGCACGTTGTACTGATGTTTCAAATACTCTACTACGTTAAGTGTAATATCTATACAAATTACTGTATTTCTGTACATCCATCTAATTGGTTCTAGTAAGTAGTAGTGGTTTGTAAACATATCAGTGTCTGGGATGTTAGTATAGTTAATATCATTAGGTTAACTTGTGCATTGAAACTTGCGATGTTGGTTCGTACGGAGGCAAGTTGGGAACTGTGTGTTATTGGATGATAACTGTTTAATGGTCCGATGATTAGATTCGACTTATATTACTCGCGTGGCTCACAAACAAGGTGTCTAATCTAGTGATGGGTAACGCAATACGTAAACCCAGTTAAGGGCTCTTTCCCACGGAGATATCCCGATTTGCAGGAACTGTTTTTTTTCAA